TGGGTTCCGCGGTCCTCGGCAGGGTTCCGGCGTCCTCGGCAGGGTGGTTTCCGCGGTCCGCGTCCCTCCCTGTTCCTCCGTCGGGCCGGCTGTCCGCGCGCACAGCGTCTGCCAGCACTTGGGCGGGGCCGCATGCGCAGTGCGTTTACTGAGGTTGTGCGCATGCTCGCTTGGGGCGCGTTTCCCTCATCCGCGGAGCGTCTCTACAGGAAGGTCACATGTCCGTGAAACTCTGCCGCTTTGCTTCTCAGGGCACCTGCCTCGGCCCACTCGCCCAGCTCCTGAGCTCCTATCAGGAAGCTGCTGGTCACCAGGTTCAGGGATTTTCCATCTATTGGGAGACCGTCTCTCCCTGGCGCTGGCTGTGACCACTTACTGTTTTAGAAAGACAGTGAGTGTGGCAGCCGCCTGACCATCACCTGACGGTCATCTGGTTTAGCTGCGGCGGGGCCCTCTCCGGCCCTGCTCATGTCTGCGGGGACACTGACCACACTTCATTAGAACTGCTTTTCGGTTAGCCCGACCAACATGGCGAAACCCCGTCCCTACTAAAAATACTAAAAATCAGCCGGGCGCGGTGGCGCATGCCCGTAATCTCAGCTGCTCAGGAGGCTGAGGCAGGAGAATCACTTGAACTCGGGCGGCAGAGGGTGCAGCGAGCCGAGGCCACGCCATTGCACTCCAGCCTGGCAACACAGCGAGACTTCATCTCAAAAAAAAATTTGCTTTTTGCTTTGGCAATGTCCCTACTAGACTTTAAGCTCCTCAGGAAAGGCATTGCATCTTTCTCATCACTATATCCCTAGCCCCAAGCAAATGCCTGTCAGGTAATGATCACTTAATGGATATCTGACTGAAAAAGAATGAAAGAAAAAGCTTGCTAGGTGGCCAGGGAGATAAACAGATGTCTCTTCCTCCGTGTAATTTAACCCATCACTTCTTTTTTTTTTTCTTTTACTCACTCTGTCGCCCAGGCTGGATTGCAGTGGTGTGATCTTGGCTCACTGCAACCTCCACCTCCAGATTCAAGGGATTCTCCTGCCTCAGACTCCCGAGTACCTGGGATTACAGGTGCCTGCCACCACACCTGGCTAATTTTTGTATTTTTAGGAGAGATGGGGTTTCACCATGTTGGCCAGGCTGGTCTTGAACTCCTGACCTCAAGTGATCCACCCGCCTGAGCCTCCTAAAGTGCTGGGATTGCAGGTATGAGCCACCGTGCCCAACCGATTAACCAATCACTTCCGTTGTTGCCCTGACATCTGGCGGATGATTTGTTCACCTAGCCAGGATCTCAGGGCAGAGCAAGGGACTCCCCAACAGCCTGGTTTTAAGGTTTTACCTTCTGATCTTGTTTGTCTCTTCAGATATCAAGTTAGCTAATCTTTTTGCTAACCTCCTGGTTCACATTTTTGGAAGCGTTTCTCTGAATGTTATAATTTCTAGGGGAATAAAGTCAGGAAGAGGAGGCAAAATTCAAACGAGGCCACGGCACAGCAAGTGCTTTTAGTGTTCGATTGGCGGGCAGCCAGGGTTCTCTGAATTCCACTCATCTGAAAGGCCACGCTCCAGTTGGTAGTTTTCCCTTTAAGACTTTTCTGATAGGAAAATTTTCTGTGGAAGAGATTGTCAGGGGAGGCAGGGCACAGTGGCTCACGCCTGTAATCTCAGCACTTTGGGAGGCCAGGGTGGGTGGATCACAAGATCAGGAGATCAAGAACATCTTGGCCAACATAGTGAAACCCCATCTCTACTAAAAATACAAAAAATTAGCCAGGTGTGGTGGTGTGCACCTGTCGTCCCAGCTACTCGGGAGGCTGAGGCAGGAGTTTGAACCCAGGAAGTAGAGATTGCAATGAGCCGAGATCATGCCACTGCACTCCAGCCTGGGCAACAGAGCAAGACTCCATCTCAAAAAAAAAAAAAAAGAAGAGATTGTCAGGGGCTTGATGTTGGTGAAGTGTGTGGCCAGACCTTTCTCAGACGTGGTGTGGTTTGAAGGCACTAAATGCATTCCTGCACAAGGGTGCCTCCTGGTCCCATGATCTAGAGCACGCACTTGAAAGGCCAACCACACACCGATCTTTCCTTGGGTCCCTGTCAGTCATTTGGGGGGGAGTGGGTTAAAGTTGTGACTTGCTAACACCCTGGGTGGTTAATTTGCCTCAACACAGAATTACACACAAAAAGCCCTGCACTGCACTGTGGGACCATCTCAGAGGGAGGCTGCTGGGACATGTGCTGGCATCACAGCAGGTGGGCAGGCTGTGAGGAGGGCTGTTCCCCACAGGTGCCCTGCTCCCAGGAGCAGGACAGGCTCTTTGCTGTGACTGAGGAGTCCTGAGGGCTGATGGGGGAAGAGATACACCATCCCCCCCGATTCCTGACTCTACCCTGCCCCAGGACCCTTGGCCGCCCGGGGTAAGGGCCACTGTTCTTTCATATCCTACCCCCAGCCTCCCAGTGCACCGCTCCCCTCTGCTGAGACCTGAACTCCCTTTCATCTGGGACAAGTTCTCTCATTCAATGTGAGAGCCATGACTTAGAGGGCTAATACCCAATGGACAGGGTGTGCAGTCAAGACAGCTCACCATAATGAAACAGAACAGCAGGAGGAAGTTCCTTGTGGGGAGGAGCAGGAAGCAAAGGTCACAGCACTGTGGGGCTGGGGTGAGGGAGAGGGGGCCAAAGCATATCCCCAAACTAAACAGCCTGCTCAGCGTTTTGTCTGGCACCAGTTTCTTTACCGTAAGCTCTAGTCTGGCCAGGCACAGTGGCTCACACCTATAACTGCAGCACTTTGGGAGGCCAAGGCAGGTGGATCACTTGAGACCAGGAGTTCAAGACCAGCCTGGCCAACATGGTGAAAATGCATCTCCACTAGAAATACAAAAATTGGGTGCCCAGCCCAGTTTTTGTGTTTCTAGTCAAGACCAGCCTGACAAAGATGGAGCTCGAGGCGGGGGATCACGAGGTCCGTATGATGGGATATAAACTATGTATGTGAGAGCAAGCTTAGCAGAAAGTGAAGCAATTAAATCTTTTTTTTTGAGACAGAGTTTCGCTCTTGTTACCCAGGCTGGAGTGCAATGGTGCGATCTCGGCTCACCGCAACCTCCGCCTCCTGGGTTCAGGCAATTCTCCTGCCTCAGCCTCCTGAGTCGCTGGGATTACAGGCACGCGCCACCATGCCCAGCTAATTTTTTGTATTTTTAGTAGAGACGGGGTTTCACCTTGTTGACCAGGATGGTCTCGATCTCTTGACCTTGTGATCCACCTGCCTTGGCCTCCCACAGTGCTGGGATTACAGGCTTGAGCCACCGCGCCCGGCCTGAAATTAAATCTTAATCAATGGGGAAGATTTATAAGGAGCAGAGGTTTTTTCTTATTGTCGTTTTTGGGTTTTCTTTGAGACGGAGTCTTACTCTGTCGCCCAGGATGGAGAGCAGTGGCATGATCTCAGCTCACTGCAACCTCTGCCTTCTGGGTTCAAGCGATTCTCCTGCCTCAGCCTCCTCAGTAGCTGGAATTACAGGTGTGCGCCACCACACCCAGCTAATTTTTGTATTTTTAGTAGAGACAGGGTTTCACCATGTTGGCCAGGCTGGTCTCAAACTCCTGACCTCGTGATCCACCCGCTTCGACCTCCCAAAGTGCTGGGATTACAGGCGTGAGCCACCCTGCCCAGCACCCAGCAAGGAGTAGAGTTTTTAAGCAAGTTCCTTGGCTCTCACTGGTCGAACCCTGGGAGGTGACGGTTTCTGTCACCTGTTGCCCCCACCCATCACATGCTGCTGGAGTTCTGCTACCCCACGCTGCCAGCAGCAGAGCTGCCATGACTCTGTCTCTCTGTTCTAGGATGCTATCCTTTCCCTGCACGCTGGCTTGCTCACAGACTTGCTCCCGGATTCTAGGGCTGAGCCTTGGGACTGCAGCCCTGTTCGCTGCTGGGGCCAACATGGCACTCCTCTTTCCTAACTGGGATGTGACCTACCTGTTGAGGGGCCTCATTGGCAGGCATGCCATGCTGGGAACTGGGCTCTGGGGAGGAGGCCTCATGGTAAGTGCCTGGGGTTCCCTAAATGTGAACTCCCAGAGTTCCCGGGGGGTGGAGCAGGAAGGTGGCACGGGAAGTGTTTTGCTTCCTTACAAGAAAAGTTTATTCTAACAAGCTGGTCTTGGGTCTGTAGAGGCTCTCAGAGACAGGACCAGGAAGGTCGGTGGGGGGAGGGTCAGCATCCACGGTGTTAGATCAGGCTAGTCATCGAAACTTGGGTCCCCGGAGTTCATGTGATGTGCCCAGCCACTCTATTTCAACAGCTGTGGGCAGCAGTCAGAAACAGCTGGAAAAGTAAATTTCCCAGACTCAACATTCTCCTCTCTCCTCCAGGTACTCACTGCAGCTGTCCTCATCTCGACGGGCTGGAGATACGGCTGCTTCAGGAAGAGTGGGCTCTGTCGAAGCGTAAGCACCAGATTCCACTTCCTAGCGCCGGGAATGTCTCCACTTCTACTACTCGAGAGGCAGAGTGGTAAAGAGGCGATTTTGGTCTTGGGGCTTGAAGTCAGGTCCTGACTGTGACCCTCAATAATGCTAATTTCTTGGGCAAGGTTGCTTAATCTTTTCAGTTTCAGGTCTTCATCTGTAGCCTGGGAGCTGAAGTCAAGGGAGCAGTGCTCAGTGAACCACAGATGCCTGCGGCAGTGTGAGGAACTGTTATATTCTTAGCCTACTGGACACATGGACACGAGTTATGACACTAATCATGTGTCATTGACGGAAATTTTCCTAGTTATTTTAACTAAGATTTTCTTAGAAAAGTTTTCCAGAGATCATCTAATCACTAGATTCTAATCTAACCCCACCATTTTACAGATAATGAAACTGAGGCCCAGAATAAATTTATACTTTATGAATTACAGCAGCAACTGTATAAACTTGAAAGAGCTCAGTATGTGTGTGTGACACACACGATCGGTCTCAGACATGAACCTGTGGCCTTACGGTATCTCCATAGCCTGCTCTGATATCTGCAGCCCACATGCTGGGAAGCCTGCTGACTCAGAGTTACATGTTAAAAATTAAATATAGGCTGCGCGGTGGCTCACGCCTGTAATCCCACCACTTTGAGAGCCTGAGGTGGGCGGATCACCTGAGGTCAGGAGTTTGAGACCAGCCTGGCCAACATGCTGAAACCCATCTCTACTAAAAATACAAAAATTAGCTGGGCATGGTAGTGTGCACCTGTAATCCCAGCTACTTGGGAGGCTGATGCAGGAGAATCGCTTGAACCCAGGAGGCAGAAGTTGCAGTGAGCCAAGATTGCGCCACTGCACTCCAGCCTGGGTGACAGAGTGAGACTCAGTCTCAAAAAAAATAAAAAAAGATAAACAATTTCATTCGCTGTCTGTTCTGTCACCTCTGGCTTTTCTTGAGGCAAGTAGCTCTCACACTTGAATGTGCATCAGAATTGCCTGGAGGGCTTGCTAGAGCAGGATTGCTGGGCTCCGTCCCTAGACTTTCTGGTAATGGGACAGCTGGGCCAGGGACCCCATTTTGGTGACCCCTGCCCTAGGCTTACTAATGCACCTTGAATCTTTCAACTCAGAGTCCAAACTTACTACCTACCTTTCTCTGATCCCCCCCCAAACTCCAGACCAGCTTGACAGCAGTGGGAAAATGACTCTATGACTCTGCAGAAAAACACTAGATGTTATTCAGATTTTTAAAATATACATTTTTGGAGGTGGGAGAAAAAAAATCTAGAACCCTAAGAAAGAAGCCACTGTGGAAGCAGGCTAGAAACCTGCCAAGGAAGGAAAAACAGTTACTTTCCGGAGGGCAGCAAGAGTTCAGACTGACCACCAAGGGAGCTCTTGGTGGAGGGACACAGTGACAGAAGTGGAGTCATTTCAGAGTTTTGCTGCAGCTTCTGTCTCTCTCTCCCTTCTTCCCTCCCTCCCACTTCTCTCCTTCCCTTCTTTCCTCCTCCTTTCTTTCCTTCCTTCCCTCCCTTCCTTCCTTTTATAATTGATTTGAAAAAGAGAAGAATCAGAGTTGGGGGGCTGGAACTTTTGAAAATGCAGCTTTTCCTTAGAAGAGTCGGAGGTGGGCCTGTGACAATGAACCTGCCTCTGTAACTCAGAGGCTGATGGCTGCGATCTGCACACAGCTTTGCTGGGCCGCTCCTCCCAACTCGTGGGGCCAGAGCCAAGTGCCTGCTTTTCTCCTTCTCAGTGCTTTCTCTCCTAGCCCTTCCTGGCTCGACCTAGAAGCCCTCACTGGCCTCCCCACCTTGGGTTATGCTTGAAAGGGGGTGCCATGGAAAGAACCCCCCCGCCCCGTGACAGGACGGAAGTTAGAGCTGTGCAGATCACCCCACAGGCTCCTCAGGGGCGACCCCGTCCATCTCAGCTCGCCATCTCCCTCCCTCCGCAGGTGTTCGCTGGTCTGCTGTCAAGTGGCCTGGCTTTATTTGGAGCCCTGATTTGCTTTGTCACTTCTGGAGTTGCTCTGAAGGATGGTCCTTTTTGCATATTTGATGTCTCATCCTTCAATCAGACACAAGCTTGGAAATATGGTTACCCATTCGAAGACCTGCACAGTAGGTAAATGGACAGAGGCCTGAATTTGCAGTCTTTTCAAAGAGAGAGGGAGAGAGGCAGAAAGACACACAGGTGAACTACAGGCTCCTTTGGGTCACACATTCTAGCATCTTGCTTCTCTGATGCTCAGAAAATTGCAAACGCAGCAGTAACCGTCACCCTCAGGGGCCCAGTCCTCTGACCCGGTCAGGGGAGGCCCCAGTCCTCTGACCCAGTCAGGGGAGCCCCAGTTTGCTACTGGGGTTGCCTGTTTGGCTTCCTTGTCGCCCAGTCCCTGGTCTCCTTATTTCTTGGGATAGGAATTATCTGTATGACCGTTCGCTCTGGAACTCCGTCTGCCTGGAACCCTCTAAAGCTGTTTTCTGGCATGTGGCCTTCTTCTCCACCCTTCTGTGCGTCAGCCTGCTCCAGCTTCTTCTGGTGGTCGTTCACGTCATCAACAGCTTCCTGGGCCTTTTCTGCAGCCTCTGCGAGAAGTGACAGGCCGTATCTTCACGTTCAAGCATGGGTGTTTTCATCATGGGCCGCCTTGAGTCCTCTCTACAAGGAGTGGGTACAAATTACCAACAAACTTCCCCTTTAGGCATCTCTGGAATAATGATAACAAAATTCACTGCATGTAGGTTGAATAATAAAATGCATTTTAAATCACGTTGTGAACTTCCAGGTGATGCATGGATAGGATAAATAATTAAGTCATTATAAATGTGTAAGAATTTATAGTCCATAAAATGTCCTCCAGCGTGGTCTCATTTCTGCTTCTTGACAATCCCATATGCCTGGCCATTCGTCACACATAGAGAAGCGGGGGCTGGCAGAAGATAGCAGGTTTCTACATAAAAGCACACAGTGAAGTTAAGACGAAGTGAGCAGCCGACCCCAGCTCCCTTTTTGTTGTTTTTGTTGAGACAGGGTCTAACTCTGTCCCTCTGGCTGGAGTACAGTGGCACCATCACAGCTTACCGTAACCTAAAGCTGATGCGCTCAAGTGATCTTCTCGCCTTAGCCCCTGAGTAGCTGGGACTACAGGCACATACCACACCTGGCTAATTTTTGTAGAAATGGGGTCTCACTACATTGCCCAGTCTGGTTTTGAACTACTGACCTCAAGTGATTCTCTGGCCTTGGTCTCCCCAAATGCTGGATTACAGGCATGAGTCCCTGTGCCTGGCCCCAGCCTCCGTCTTCTAAATTCACGTTCCCATTATTACGGACTGAATAGTGTTTCTTCCAAATCTGTTGGTTGGAGCACTAACCCCCAATGTGATTGTCTTTGGTGATGGCACCTTTTTTTCCAGACAGTCTCACTCCATTGCCCAGGCTGGAGTGCAATGGCAAGATCTTGGCTCACTGCAACCTCCACGTCCCAGGTTCAAGGAATTTTCCTGCCTCAGCCTCTTGAGTAGCTGGGATTACAGGTGTGTGCCCCCACGCCTGGCTAATTTTTGTATTTTTAGTAGAGACAGGGGTTTCACCATGTTGGCCAGGCTGGTCTCGAACGCCTGACTGCAAGTGATGCACCCACCTTGGCCTCCCAAGGTGATGGGATTATAGGCATAAGCCACTGACCCGGCCATGACGGCACCGTTACATTAGTAATTAAGGTTAAGTGAGACGGTGCAGTGGCTCACGCCTGTGATCTCAGCACTTTGGAAGGCCGATATGGGAAGGTCACTTGTGTGACCAGGGGTTTGAGACTAATCTGGGCAATATAGTGAGACCTTATCTCAAAAAGAACAACAACAAAAAAAAGAGTAAATGAGGCCATAAGGTGGGACCCGAGTTAAACAGGACCTGTGTGCTTATAAAAGGAAGGCAGAACAGAGCGCTCTACACTGGCTCAAAGAAAAAGCCCCCGTGAGGGCACAGTGAGAAGGCGGCCTTCTGCAAGCCCAGAGGAGAGGCCTCAGGAGACACCAAACCTGCTGGCTCCTGGGTCTTGGACTTCTTGCTTCCAGCACTGTGAGGAAATGATTTCTGTTGCTTAAGTGGCTCAGTTCGTGGTATTCTGTAACGGCGGTCCTGGCAGACGAATACACCAGTGTTCTCTTCACTAGTGCTCAAGAGAGTTCAACAGCTGGAGCCGGAGGAGCACCACCTCCACCTGACAGTTTGGACATTCGTCCCCACTCAGATCTCATGCTGAATTGGGATTCCCAGTGCTAGAGGTAGGTCCTGGGGGAAGCTGTCTGAATCATGAGGTAGATTCCTCACAGCTCGGAGCTCTCTTTGTGATCGTGCGTTCCTGTGAGATCTGGTCATTTGGAAGCGAGTGGCACCTCTGGCCTCTCTCTCTCTGTCTCTCCTGCTCCTGCTCTCACCATGTGACTCGCCCCTCCCTCTTCACCTGCTGCCCCGGGTAAAACTCTCTGAGGCCTCCCCAGAAGTTGAGTGATGTGGGTGCTATGCTTCCTGTAATGCCTGCAGAACCGTGAGCCAGTTAAATCTCTTTTCTTTTTTCTTTCTTTTTTTTTTTTTTTTTTTTGAGATGGAGTCTCCCTCTGTCGCCCAGGCTGGAGTGCCATGGTGGTGAGCTTGGCTCACTGCAACCTCTGCCTCCCAGGTTCAAGCAATTCTCCTGCCTCAGCCTCCTGAATAGCTGGGATTACAGGTGCCTGCTATTACGCACAGCTAATTTTTGTGGGTTTTTTTTTTTTTTTTTTTTAGTAGAGATGGGGTTTCGCCACTCTACTACTCAAGCAATCCACCTGCCTTGGCCCCACAAAGTGCTGCAATTACAGGTGTGAGCCACCATGCCCGGCCATCTCTTTTCTTAATAAGTTACCCTGTCTCAGGTATTTCTTTAGAGCAGTGCAAGAATCACCTAGCACACAGTCTCTACAAAAAATTAAAAAATTAGCCAACCATGGTGGTTCGTGCCATTGTCTCAGCTACTTGGGAGGCTGAGGTGGAAGGATCACTTGAGCCTGGAAGGTTGAGGCTGCAGTGAGCTGTGATCACCGCACTGCACTCCAGCCTGGGTAACAGGACAGCCTGCCCAAAATCAACCCGTCCAAAACCCAAATAGTGTATAATGAGTACCCACCCTGTGCCTGGCACTGCCATACACGCTGCGATCCAAAGGTGCCCAAGACATGGTCCCTGCCCTCAGATGCTGCCCTTCCCCTGAGCTCTTGTTTAGGTTGGGAACAAACATCTACCAATCATTCCAGCATCATATGCTAAGGGTCATGTTAGAGCTCACACAGGTGCAACGAGAGCTCAGTGGAACAGCGAATCTGCAGCGAGAGGCCCCAGAGAACTCAAGGAAGGTCTCGCTTGCACCTGAGTTTGTTTCTTTGGCGAGTCGGCCCAGCAGAGAGGGACGGGAGGGCTTCCCGGCAAAAGCAACAGCATACTCAGAGACACAGAAGGAATCCACAGGCTAGTGGACGGACTGTGATGCCACAGCTGTTTTTTTTTTTTTGAGACGGAGTCTGGCTCTGTTGCCCAGGCTGGAGTGCAGTGTGTGATCTCTGCTCACTGCAACCTCCACCTCCCAGTCTCAAGTGATTCTCCTGCCTCAGCCTCCCAAGTAGCTGGGATTACAGGTGCATGCCACTACGCCTGGCTAATTTTTTTGTATTTTTAGAAGAGTTGGGGTTTTGCCATGTTGGCCAGGCTGGTCTCCTGACCTCAACTGATCCACCCACTTTGGCCTCCAAAAGTGGTGGGATTACAGGCATGAGCCTGCGTGCCCGACCTCGCAGCTGCTTCTCACACAGCACCTGAAGGCAGAGCCTCCTCCTCTCCCACTTTGGGGTTTCCGGTCAGGTCTGGCCCTGGGTGGTGAGAAGAGTCAGAGAGGAAGAAGGAGATGCTGGTGGGAGAGCATGGTTTAAAGACAGGAAGAGGACAAGGAAGGCAGAAGCAACCTGGGAAGAACCAGGCAAGAAAAGTGGTGGGCAGCCCTAGAAATGAGTTAGACAACCCCAGCTTCTTAGCAGTGGCTCGCACCTGTAATCCCAGCACTTTGGGAGGCCAAGGTGAATCACCAGAGGTCAGGAGTTCGAGACCAGCCTGGCCAACATGGTGAAATTCAATCTCTACAAAAAATACAAAAGTTAGCCAGGCATGGTGGTGCATGCCTATAACCACAGCTATTTGGGAGGCTGAAGCAGGAGGATCACTTGAACCTGGGAAGTGGAGGTTGCAGTGAGCTGAAATCACACCACCGCACTCCAGCCTGGGTGACAGAGGGAGATTCCGTCTTGGGGAAAAAAACAACCAACCAACCAAACACACCCAGAAACAAAGAGCACCCAGGCTCTGCTGGAAGGGAACGTGGGGCCCCGGTGCTGTTCTCTCCCCTCCTCGGTCCCCGAGATCCCAGCGTGATTCCAGCACTATTCCATGTCAGTGAGGAGGTGCTGAAGCACTGGAGGCCTCCAGAATACAGGGGTGCCTGTCTCTCCCGGCCCAGAGGCACGGTTCTGTCACAGTCCAACCAGCAGAGCTCGCAGGAGGCAGGTCCCTTCAAACACCACCTCACCTTTCCTCTCCAGGGGTGCTGGCCTAATGCGCCTGCTGGGGTGGGGAACGCAGACAGAGAGGCCTGTGGGAGACGTAGGGAGGCACAGCCTCTTGGGCAGGAAGGGAATCTCCAAGTCCAGACAGCACATCACACTCAGCATACAGCATCCCAGCAGCTCACCCGCGCTTCTCCCATTTCCCTGTTGGCTGGTTTAGTTTCAGAGTGACGGCTAGGATGTGCATGATACGTAGAAGTTTCTCTTCCTGGGGAAAGGTACTGACACCTCCTAATAGAGAACTTAAAGATAATTTATGGCCAGGTGCGGTGGCTCATGCCTGCCAGTCCAGCACTTTGGGAGGCCGAGGCAGGTGGATCACGAGGTCAGGAGCTCAAGATCATCCTGGCTAACATGGTAAAACCCCCTCTCTACTAAAAATACAAAAAATTAGCCAGGTGTGGTGGCACACGCCTGTAATCCCAGCTACTCCAGAGGCTGAGGCAGGAGAATGGCTTGAACCCGGGAGGCGGAGGTTGCAGTGAGCCGAGATCACACCACTGCACCCCAGCCTGTGCGACAGAGCGAGACTCTTATCTCAGAAAAAAAAAAAAGGTAATTTTTGTCTAATTTTGGATGTTAGGCATGTGCACACAAGTGCCTGCACACTCATACACACGTCATCTCTGCAAGCCCCATCCCAGCTCAGCCCTATTCTGATGGGTCAGCAGGAACCCAAGGTGAGAAAGGTCAGTCCTTGGCACTCAGACAATTCAGTGGTTAGCTGACTCTTTCTTGCCTCCATTCTTTCAGGAACTGCATAGTTCCGTCACAGAACCTGACAGGGATTCAAAGGACAATATCTCAGCTGGGTGTGGTGGCTCATGCCTGTAATCCTAGTATTTTGGAAGGCTGAGGTGGGATGATCGTTTGAGCCCACGAGTTCAAGACCAGGCTGGGCAGCATGGCGAGATCCTGTCCTGTCTCTACAAACACTAAAAAGATTAGCCAATCGTGGCGGCGTTCGCCTGTCATCCCAGCTACTCCAGAGGCTGAGGTGGGAGGATTTCGTGGGTCCAAGAGGTCGAAGCTGCAGTGAGCAGTGAGTGTGCCACTACACTCCAATCTGAGTAATAGAACAAGACCCTGTCTCAAGTCAAAAAAAAAAAAAAAGGAATCCCTGCCACTTCAGCCTCCCCAGTGCACTGGGATTACAGACGCCAGCTACATCCTCCGGCCTTAGTTTCTGAGGCCAGCAGAGGCCAAGATACAAC